GCCCCGTTACGCCCCTCGCCCCAACCCAAAACTAAGAACGTACAAACTACACCTACTACCCAACGCCCCCTCCCCTCCCCCCCCCCCCCCGGGCCCTGGAGTTTTTATAGCATGTTGCAGGGGGCCTCAGAAAGAAAAAGGTTGAGAACCCATGTAGTAAAGATTTTAAAAATGTTCTGCTGTTACTTTATATTCTGCATTGCAGTCACTTTGGGAACATTGCCTGCAGGTGAATGGGCACATGTAAATAATGTATAATAGCTAGACAAAGTGACCCTTGTGGATGTGTCATTTAAGGATTCTTTTGTTGTATGAGAAGCAGCTAATGTTCGATTTTTCTGTGCTATAATTGTTTAAAATCCTTCTCTTGAAATATAACAAATATATTGACTTACGGTAAGGTCCATACTGGTCTGCTGACCAAAGCAAAGTAACGTTAACCATGATTAAATAAAGTACACTTATTCATATAATTGGTATTCATATTGTTTTACTCTCTACTACTTGAAATATATTTAAACATGGCTTTGTTTTGCAAAATCGTTTCTGAAAATGTTGGGCCCAAACCTGCTCCTAATTTTGCCATTGATTTATTGGGAATCAGGATGTGATCTCATGTATGACAGAACATAACAGAATGGAAATTTTGTGATTTCACATTTCTCTAGTGAAGCAAAAGGTATGCTGCACTGTTTTTTTCACTGAGGTATAGCATCCAGATTTTAGCTGATATGCCCTCACATCAGCTGAATATCAATGAGGAGTCCTTGTGGCACCTTAGAGACTAACAAATTTATTTGGGCATAAGCTTTCGTGGGCTAAAACCCACTTCATCAGATGCATGGAGTGGAAAATACAGTAGAGAGGTATATACACAGCATATGAAAAGATGGGAGTTGCCTTACCAAGTGGGGGGTCAGTGCTAATGAGCCAATTCAATTAAGGTGGAAGTGGGCTATTCTCAACAGGTGACAAGAAGGGAGGACACAGGGACTCCTCGTTGTTTTTGCTGATATAGAGTAACACGGCTACCACTCTGAAGCTTGTAATATGTTTTTCACATCACAAAAAATATGTCATACTTGTAAAATGTTGCAAAACATATTGATCAGTAGATACCATAATGCAGTATTGCCAAGCTGTGTGTCTTATGATTCCATATTTATGAATGTGGTCTGAGAGCTGGAGAGGAATCTAATACAGACTTTGCTACTTGGACTGCAGTTTCTCATATAATAGTGATCACTTAGGGCCAGATTCTGGCACTCTGTGTTGAGTAGTACCTTATTCCACTAAAAACCCCAACTGAAATCATTGAGGGTACTTGTTCCCCTTAGTACGCAAGTTTTACTTTGTTGGGTAAAGTGATGTCTA